TATATATATATACGCTATAAGCAGCAACATCTCATTGTCTTACTTAAGCCATTATATTTTGCATTATTTAGTAGTATAATGAACAGGAGTAATTATAACCAAACTGCAGTGTACTGAGAGAGAAACTTCCACTGATTCAGACTATTCAATGGGGCTTTAACATTTCTAAGACAGATTAGAACTGTGTTCATAGCAACATCTTAGTAAACAGTACTACATCAATACTTAATGTGCTTCTACCAGGACTATCATAGCTAAAACAAATGTCTCTATCACTGTGTTCTGTTCTTGCCCTTTGGTGACATTATATACTGTTTTATAACTGTTGTTTGAGTATCATTCTCTGGTAAGCACTGGCTAATCTCCACTTGTTATTGAACATCATAATCATATAACCAGCTGTCATTTCTGGAGTAAGATCTGCTGCAAGGAAGGAATAATGATGCAAGAAACCATATGAATGATAAAATCCTGGCAGCAGATAAAAACGAAATGCTCCATCTAGCCTGGCTCTTTATTTTACGTATAAAAGCTTTTCTCTAAGGATAAATGTCTGTATTCTAGACATATCTGAATCCTAACATTCATGTTGATTTATAGGGACCCACTAGGAAGGCAGTTAGTGGGAAATCGGCATTTCTGGATAGATAGTCTCTCAACACTTTGAAGCACCACTATTTTCAGCAGATACTTTATTATCAAAGGGATTCCTATACAGACATGAGTTCATCTGGTTGCCTCAAAGGGGAACTATGTGCAAAATCTAAAAATGACACATATTATGCAGTTTGTCACTAGCATTAAAACAGTAGTTTCTGTTTTCCTTAGCATCCCCCACCCATTAAAGTAAAAATGAAGTCAACACTTTTTTTTAGTTTTAGATCTCAGAACATGGAAAAATACCAGATCAACAGGTAACAAAATGTTACATAGGGAACTCAGAAGAAGAAAAACTAACTTGTGAATGCTACTGACAAACTGCATCATAGATGTATTTTTTAAATTTTGCTCATACTTACACCTTAAACTGACACTAAGTTCAGGAGTTAAATCTTATAAATACATTGAAGTACCGTAACTATTAACAAAAATGTATCTTATTTGTGTATCACTCGGCTGTAGATCCTCCAATCATCTCTGAATTGGTGCTGACATTGTCCTTCCTTCTGCAGCTACTTTTGTTCCTCATTGTCCCTGTGTGTGTTGTAAAGTATCCACTGCTCCAAGCTCACTCCCATGATGGATTACAGTCTCAATATAAACCAGTTAACTAAACATGAGATTGAGAACCACTGCTTTAAAGTGACACTGAACTCAGGATTTAAATGTTAAAATGCATTCTGATACCTTAACTAGTAACAGAAATGTATCTTATTTGTGTATTACTCGGCTGTAGATCCTCAAATCATCTCTTAATTGGTGCTGACACTGTCCTTCCTTCTGGAGGGTGACTACTTTTGTTTCCCATGGTTCATGTGTGTGTTGTAAAGTAGTCACCGCTCCAAACTGACACTAAGTTCAGGAGTTAAATCTTATAAATACATTGAAGTACCGTAACTATTAACAAAAATGTATCTTATTTGTGTATCACTCGGCTGTAGATCCTCCAATCATCTCTGAATTGGTGCTGACATTGTCCTTCCTTCTGCAGCTACTTTTGTTCCTCATTGTCCCTGTGTGTGTTGTAAAGTATCCACTGCTCCAAGCTCACTCCCATGATGGATTACAGTCTCAATATAAACCAGTTAACTAAACATGAGATTGAGAACCACTGCTTTAAAGTGACACTGAACTCAGGATTTAAATGTTAAAATGCATTCTGATACCTTAACTAGTAACAGAAATGTATCTTATTTGTGTATTACTCGGCTGTAGATCCTCAAATCATCTCTTAATTGGTGCTGACACTGTCCTTCCTTCTGGAGGGTGACTACTTTTGTTTCCCATGGTTCATGTGTGTGTTGTAAAGTAGTCACCGCTCCAAGCTCACTACTGTGATGGACTACAATCTCAATACAAATTAAATAAACTAAACATGAGATTGTAGTCCATCACAGGAGTGAGTTTAGAGCAGTGGCTACTTTATAACACACACAGGGACCATGGGGAACAAAAATAGCCACCCTCTAGAAGGAAGGACAGAGCCAGCACCAATTCAGAGATGATTTGAAGATCTGCAGCCGAGTGATACACAAATAAGATACATTTTTGTTGATAGTTAAGGTACTTGAATGCATTTTTAGGATGTAACCCTTGATTTTAGTGCCACTTTAACCCCTCCTAAACCTAGCCAATTTGTTTTTCTATTAAAGCTGTACTTCAACTTTGGCTTCACCTCTTAATTTTATATGCCCCATGCAATGCACTGTTTAAATCTTCTAAAGATAATTATAATTATTTCTAAACAATTATTACAGTGTATTTGTTAGTTTCTATTGCATATCTAGTTTATCCTGTCTTAGTAATTAATCATTTTCCAGCCAAGCATGGCTTACCGAGACTTAATTTCATGACATCACATTTCAGCATCTCTGTCTCATTTCCACACTCTGCGATGCCTCCAAATAGGTAAATATCCTGTTAAGACATTCAAAGAAAATAATATAGTATTTACTAAACAGGTTAGAGAGAAGATGTCTGAAGGCCATTGATATAGTTTAACTCTCTACATATTTTTTATTAGGGTTTACTTATAAAGCTCTAATAAATAATGCAACACTGTAAAAAAGAAGGACACAAATTATAAATGCCAGACAAAACAAGCTGACTATCTGAGCTACTATATAGATAGCCACATATGCTTTATTAGCTGTCATACCTAATCACACTCTTTTGTTCCTTTAGAACACATTTTCACTCCAGGGCTGCTGTAAAGCAATATGAATAGGACCCCGTGCAGGTTAGTTGAATAATAGCTGCAACTCAGGAGGCAGAACAAGCATAAAGTGAACAAAAGATATATCCTCTCATCTCTAACCTATTTATACAATGCTGCTATATTAAACTTTACAGAGTACATAGAGCCTTTCCTTCTAACCCTTTTCGGCCGAAGCTTCCTCTTTGGTCGAAAAATACAGTCTGCAAGCCTGGGGTGGAGTCTGTAGCCATGTGCAGAACGGGCGTTATAGGCGCGATTTTTGATGACGAAAATGCGCAAACACTATTTACGTCCGTTCACGTCGAAGTCTATGGCCGCGAACGCGCTACAAAACGGCCCAATACGCCGAAAAGAAGCTCATGTACCTTTTCAGACGTAGGCCGTTTTGTAGCGTGTTCAGACGGGCTGAAATACGGAAAGGTGTGAACCATACCCATAGAAAACAATGGGATTTTAATGTTTGAGCGTTTTGTAGAGCGTTCGTAGAGCGTTGAACGTGCTACAAAACGGAAAGGTGTGAACCAGGCCTAAAGAAGCTACAGTCTATGCCATATCAGTCTATGTTCCTGCAATGGTTATAGACATTTAATAGCCTTTTGGTGGGGTGCCCATTAATCTACCAGTACCTTTTCCTGAAATATATGAAATGATGATCCTTTATTAGCAGGAGTTGCACTCAGAGAAAAAAATGTATGGTTAAAATAAACAAGCTCTTCCCAAATTTAACACAAGTATGTTTTTGTTTTTTTTTATTAAAAACTTGTAAATCCTTGTAAGAAGACTCTAATTTGTTCTTATCAGTATTCAGTACAGTACCTTATCATGGTGTTCTGTGAATGAATGGTATTTTCTTCCAGCTGGGGTTTCTCCTTTGATCTCACAACACTGCCAAGTTAAAGTAGCTAAAAATGTAATAAAAAAAGAAATATTAGCATCCAGATATGAAAGGCTTTGGTTGCAAACATCACTTTGTCATAAATTCCATCAATAATGTAACTGCCCACCAAAATAATTATTGAATCCCTGCTACTATTATTAATTTGCTGTATGGGGACTTTAATTCAAGGATAGAAAATTACACTGTGTGCAACACTCAGATGTGTACACACACAATCTAGGCTAGGTGAATGTTCATGTTATATATGGGTAGAACAGTGTCCTCACTCATCATAAAGCAAATTCAATGAATACATTAGCCACATTTCTAATGTATTAACCTTTGAGTGTTGTAATAGGTATTTTTGTTTTTATAATCAGTTAAATAAATAATACATCCTAATTGAGACTAAACCGTTAAAGAGATAGGTTTGTGGTCAGGATCTTAGAGGGGAATTCCCTGCTATTACACTTGAATCGTTCTGACTTTACCTGTGTCCAGCATATACACATCACTATAGAACACGCCATCCACAGAACTACCTCCAAACATATATATCTGTTGTCCAACAGTAGCAAATGAATGTCCCAACCTGTGCAAAAAAGTAACTGATTTTTACACACACAATGTTTAAACATGACCGTAAGTATAACATTGACATTACAGTGATTGTTACCTTGCCTCAGGAAGTGAGCCGGATGTTTTGACTGGTACCCATGTTTCAGATACTAAGAAAGACATATTAAGCGACACACATTACTAACCAGTACATTATATTCAGAAGTACACAATGCCACAGGACATTAATCATATACAATACTAAAGTATTGATTTAATATTTCTGATGTTGTTGCCTCTGTATTTGGCAAATCTGTGGTTTTCTCCAAAGTGTTAGTTTTCATGGAACAATTTTTAATGAAACCGTGAAACCAAGGAATCAGCTAGAATTTGGAGGGTAATATCTTGTGAGTCACCTTAGGCTATGGTTACATACTACAAAAATCTCCAGAAATTAATCACTAGGGCCCATTCATACTATTACCCTGTGGCAATATCCAACGTACATTAAAGGAGAACTATGGGGTTAAGGCTTTTCCCCATAGTTCTCCTTAGGGTAACGGGAGGACACAAACAATTATGTCTGGATCCACCCAGCTGCGTGACTGATAGCTGGCTCTGCTTATCTAGAGGCAGATCCAGCTGTACCCGCCCCCTCCCCCGTCCGTTCCGCCAGTCAGTGCTGGCGGATCGGAGCGGGGGGGATCCAGCCCCTCCCCTGTCACAGCAGAGAGCCGTGACAGGATTGAGAGGTGAGCTCACTTCCCGATCAACTAAGCTGACCTGTGACAGTCTCATTGTCACAAGTCGGCTAGAACTATGAGGTGAGTGAAAAGCATAGTTCTCCTTTAATCTAAATGGTAACGCATGCTATGTGCATTGGTGCAATGTGGCGCCATTAATTCTGAATGGCATCCCAATTCACCCTGCTGCTGCAATGCACTTCCTGTATGTGTGGTGCACTGCCAAAAATGCTACATGCATTTCTTTGTTGCATTTTGGTGCATTAGGCAGCCCATTCAAATAAAATACAAATGGGTCTCTATGGTGTAGACTACACAAGTAGTAGAATGTTTAAGCAATGAATTGCACACAATTGTGTGATCATTACTTTATACTATTTGCGTAGTTCGCACAATTGGGAGCCATGTGTTTCACCTGTTTAGTGACTAATCACTACACAGATGCTATCGGTGCTCTGCTATACTCTAGACCAGCCTTTCTCAAGCCAGTTTCTGGTTTCCTTAGGGGTGCCTCGAAATCTTGGGATGGTAGGACTCTGATATGAAGGGTGATGGAGGACTCTGATGTAAAGGGGGGACGGAGGACTCTGATGTAAGGGGGGACGGAGGACTCTGATGTGAAAGGGGCTTTTGATATGAAAGGAGGACTCCTGATGTAAAGGGGGCGCTGATGTGAAGGGGACTTTTTTGTTTTTTTTTTATTGGGGTCCTCCCTTAAAATCCATTACATGTTAGACTGGTGTGCCTTGAGATTTTTCATACTTTTGTAGGGTGCTGCGACTGAAAAAAAGTTGAGAAACAGTGCTCTAAACTAATACACCACAGTACGCTTTGCATTTTACCACAGCCATAATAGAGCCTGTGGTGTGCTATGGAGTTCTCTCTACATAATAAACAGAGAGGCTGGTCACATTACTTTGACAAGCCATGTGATTGGACTTTCCTGGCATTTCTTTTTTTACTTTACTCATTCATTTTAATAGCACTCCGCTGGCTCAAGAGTTCTTAAGCTAGCAAAGAACTAAGCACATTTGTTCAAGCAGCATGGCTACTTTATAAATGGTCCCCTTATTAAATACTTGACAGTGATTTTATAAGTGGAACTGAAATATAAAAAATTGACCATTTAGCTGAATTAGCCAATTGTTCAATAGTGACTGACATGTTTTGCTGATGTATTGCAAAATGATGACTATACCTACTGGAATGATGTAAAAATGTGTGTTTACATACTTGTATTGAACATATGCAAGTCATCAACAGCTCTTCCATGATGAATGCCACCATAAACAAAAACATTCTCCCCAACAGTTGCAATACTGTGGCTCAGGGTTTGGGGAGCAGCTCCATTTACTTTCAGCTTCTCCCAGGTTAGTGTACCTGAAATAGATTTGCAATCAAGAGACCATAACTGAAAAGGAAACTTTCTTGGACAAACCAAAAAAAGTGTATATAAAGTACTCAGTGGACACAATTTTATTGCAGTGCCTTGGATATTAAATAACATGTAATTCTTTATTTATACCTATATTTGGTAATTTTATACAATATTGATATTCTTTCGAATGGTGATAGATGCATTATCTGTATAAATGTATTTTGTTAATATATTGCAGTCTCTAACTATCTAATGTATGCCAGCATTTTTCAGCTGTGGAAGCTGCAGTAAGTGCTTGTGTAGTCAAGGATTGTTGGAAAATCCAAGGCAGCTTAACTGCCCCAGTGAACCTTGGGATGAGTCTCAGATAAGTGACTAATACGATTCTGAGGGAGGAACCTCTGCCACTCACATTAAATCAAACAGAATGAGTGTTCTATGTCAGGGGTAGGCGTTCTCAGCGCTCCAGAGGGATTTTTAGTTTCAACAGTTTCACTTGCCTAACCCTGTTCTAGGTTTACTCACTGAGAAAGGAGATTCCCATCAGTAAAAGCAGTTTCAAAAGAAGTAAGGGACAGAAAAATGTGCAATGCATATACTTGAAGGCTGCATGCTTATGAAGGCTGCATGTCCTGTAATTCCTGTTTTTTTAATTTCTTACCAAGGTCACATGCATACATTCCTGGGAGACATTGTTCTGCACTTTTATCGCAACATCCTCCAAATAAATATATTTTTCTTTTCACTATACTGTAAAAAGATAGAAAAATAATTGTATAGGTTAAATAAATGTTGCAAACTAGCCACTTACCATGAAAGTGATACGTTTGCATTCAATAGGCAAAAAGAGTAGAAACTAGGGATGCACCGAAATTTCAGCCTCTGAAACTTATATATGGTACTTTGGGCAAAATGCAGAAAGTACCATTTTGTGGACGAAAATGCGTTGCATCTCTAGTCCCTCCCCTCCCCGCTGGGCACTGCTCTGTGTCCCCCCAAGACAGAACCGCCCAGTGGGGGGGAGAGAAAATGTCAGGCGCAAAGCAGGGTGGGGAGTAGAACTCTGTCAGCACTGTCACAGGAGGCTGAGCTCTCCTCACGCACCACCCCGCTAGGCCTGTGACAGCAGGGAGATAAGGATGGAGAGCGGTAAGGGGACGAGACAGCTGTCACAGGAGGCCGAGCCAGTGGTGCGGGGGAGGAGTCAGCTGTTAGCGTTGTTACAGGAGGCTAAGCTCTCCTCCCCACACCGCCCTGCTCAGCCTCCTCTGACAGTGAGTCAGGATGGAGAGCATGGCGGGGAGGAGACAGCTATCAGCTGTCAAATGAGGCTGAGCCGGCAGTACAGGGGAGGAGTCAGCTGTCAGCCATGTCTCAGGAGGCTGAACTCTCCTCCCAGCACCGACCACGCTCAGCCTCCTGTGACAGCGAGTCAGGATGGAGAGCGGTTACAAGCGCTAATCGATCAGCTGATCAATGACTGCTTGTAAATAATTCAGGACATAATATGTTTGCTGTGTCCCCAAATATAAATGCACATTGTGGACCCTTAACAGGAACATCACTTCCTGTTCATTTATGATTTTGGACACACTAACGCATGCTATATCCTCAATTTATGAATGGACAGGAACACTCAGTATAGAGGCTTCCTGTTCACTCATAACAGGGGCTGCAAAAAAAGAGATTGAGGATTCTGTGTCCTCAATCTCTTTTTCTATTTCAAAAGGGTAATATCAGGGGTCTGTTTAGACCCCTGACATTTCGTCAAAGCCCCCGACAGTAGGAAAAAATATATTTAAAAAATAATTTTAGAAAGCTTAGAACATTTATTTGATCGCCTTTGGGAGCCATGGTTGCAATATTTACGTTCCCATTCCTTTGATCTACGTCTCACAGAACTTTGATGGCTAATATTCTCCGAACTGGCTGGATACGATTTTTTCCCTACAGGTAGTCCTGGATCCCTACCTTCCTGAATCTCTTCTTTTTCCTTCCTCAACTTTTGTTTTTTCTCAATCATGCTTCTTCCCACCCTTTTTTTTTTTGCTTGGAGATCCGTTTATTCTGGCCGCCATGTAATATGTTTTCATTCGCTTACATTTTTTAGTAAGTTTTATAATTTGTCAGCCTCTGTTATTATGTCATTGACCTGTATGCCTTTAAAACTTCAATAAATATTTTATGATTGAAAAAGAAGGCTGCATATGAATTTTTACAGTATTCCTGCAGTTTTTCAAGGTTAAAAGGACAGATGTTCCAACACAGGGCCATAGCGAGGGCGAGGCGACTGAGGCTCTTGCCTCAGGCGCAGGGGTGGGGGAGGGGTGCAGCCAGCACGGAGAAGTGGGGTGGCACAGCCTGCAGCTTCTCCTCTGGTTCATCACTGCTCACCCCCATCTGTATGGGTAGAGGCAGCAGGGATCCGAGGAGAAGTGAACACTGCAGCTGGTTGGAGGGGGGTGGAAGAGGGAGCTCCTGTCACAGCAGCATGGCCGAGCGGTGAGGTGAGAGAGAACCGCTCGGCCAGGATCTGACAGCCGGCGGCGCTCTCTCTCCTCAACGCTTGACCATGCTGCTGTGACAGCGGCTCCCTTCTCTGCCCCTTCCCGCCGGCTTCACCGCTTCACTTCTCCCCGGATCCCCGCTGCCTCTGCCCATAGAGGCGGGGGAGAGCAGCAGGGATCCAGAGAAGAAGCTGCAGGCTGTGCCGCCCCTCTGTGCATGGCCGAGCGGCGGAGGATCGGTACATATCTGTGATATGTACTGATCCTCTGTGTGCAGAGCAAACACTGGAGCGATCAGCTGATCACTCCAGTGTTTGTAAATAACTGGGGACACAAAGTACTATGTGTCCCCAGTTATGAAGGAACAGGAAGTGCTTTACATCACTTCCTGTTCTTCCATGGGTTTCTCAATGAGGAGTAGCACTCAGTTTCTTTTTCTATTTTAAAAGGCAAATATCAGGGGGCTGTTTAGGCCCCCTAATATTTCCCCAAAGCCCCCCAACAGTAAAAAATAAAAAACAAACAAAAATAATTAAAAAAAAAACACATCCTGGTGGCGGGGCGCATGACATCCCATGATGCCACGCATGTGCAGTGCTGGGTGACATCACCCTCCTGTTGGGGGGGGGGGCACATTTTTTGTTCTTGCCTCGGGGGCAAAAGGAGCTAGCTACAGCTCTGTTCCTACAGATGTTGGTTTTGAGTCTATACCAAAAACAGTAAATCAGATCCCAATCTACCATTGTGATGGTTTAGTTAGAACTGAATATGGATCTTTATTCATGCAATTACCCAAGCTTAAAGCATTCACAAAGTTAGAAGTGGGATTAATTGGACCAGGTGACATTTTGCCAAACATCAGTAGTTTAGTGTTAACATTCCTAATCTACTTAAAATGTTTTTAGTGATTTCCTGTAGGTAGTAGAATTAGCCTGCATGTTTGTCTTCAGATATATTCCATTTAACCAAGTCTAACGCATGCACTCCAATATTGGTTGTTGGGCCCCAAAACTATACTCTGCTTTTAATTGTTGTACTATGGCTAGGTGATTTAAAATTATGACCATATCTACTCAACATATTTCAGTGTTCATGCAAGAGCTGTTCTCCAAATAGCAGACCCTGTCCCATCAGGCAGGGTCACTTTTAGCACCAGATGGTGGGAAGGCTGGAATTTATATTCCCTGGGCAAGTGCAGGAGATCAGGGGATGATGGGATAACAGGGACTGGGCAAGTGAGTTGTCACCAGGTGCTGGGTCCTCCACCATTAAGTCTGGTGTGCTGGCCACCATCTTTGAGCACAAAAGCAAGCAGCTTCTGTACAAGACCCAGTCATTCGAGTGGACTTTGTTGCCGTCCGTTGCAATGGGGTGGCCTTACCTTAAGCCAACAGAAAATCCTGACTGAAGCTGTCATGGATTGGGGGATTGGGACTCACAGGTATGAACTGGAGTCAGGTATGTGGACACTTTCCGCTACACTGGCAGGGACACTCCAAGAAAAGGGTCCAAGCAGCGTAGGCTGACAACTCCCAGAGCTGGAGTACACGCAGGGGAACAGAGGAGGGGAACTGAATGAGGTAGTGGAAGTCAGCTAAAGCTGGAAGTTCAAATACAAGACTTCCAGGGACAAAGCACAGCATAGACTGTAGACAGGGATTTCCAAGGACAAAAGTGAAGCATAGGGCAGCCAGTAGACAGGGATTCCCAAGGACAAAAGGGAAGCACAGGGCTGCCAGTAGACAGGGATTTCCAAGGACAAGCCAAAGGTTCGGTACACAGGAAAACTTCCAGGAATTCAGGGTAAATCACAAATGGGGGGACTCAGCAACTAGCTTAGGAAAGCGTTGCTCAGGCATCGTGCCGTTCGCTGCCCTGAGTATAAATTGAGACAGGAAGAAGGAGGATCCACAGGATTGGCTACAAGCAGACTGCACTGATTGGCCGAGAAGCTGCATAAGAAACAGCAGGAGAGGTCGGCTGACGCCTAAAGCTTGCAGACAGGTGCCAGAGTGAGTCAGGTACAGAGCACATGTCTGTAGGACTACAAACACCAGCACAGCCCTACATGCCTGCAGAACCAGGGGTAAGAGGTATGTATATACTTGAAGAACTACAAGTAACAGCTCAGCTGCAAGTCTGTAGCTGAACTGTGACAGTAGCCATCAGCAGCAGTGTCAGTGTGAAGTCTGTTGGAGCAGCCAATCAACTCAGCTATCAGCCTGCCTTCCAGTGAAAGTGTTCTGAAAATTGGTTTGCAGCAAGGAGGTTGTAAGAACCTTTTCTTTTTCCATTTGCTTTACTGAATTCAGAAAGTATGATGCCATCTAGTGGCCAGGTAAAGAACTTTTTAATATTTCCATGTGCTTTTCTAAACCTATTTCTTTACTGTTGATTTATATGTTTTGAAATGCACTCCCATTGTTCATTCATTATCCCCTGTGCAATTAATGTTTAGTTTACATTTAATTAGTAAAATATAAATTGTACATTACTACCGTTTGGCTGATATCGTTACACAAGTCATAATGTTATGGCTGATCAGTGTATATGGACACCAAAAAGGAAACAGTGTGTTTTATGGGCCCAAAATATTTTGCATTCAGTAAAACAGGCCTCACATATCAACATATATGGTACTATGTAGTTATACATGTACGCTACAATAAAAGTTGCTACTGTTTTTTTCTTAATTTTTCTTTCTTCTCTTAATATTTAAAACCCAACTCCAGTGGAAACCTTTTTTAGTTTTGTGTGGTGACTGCAAACTCCATCATGATTTTATTGCTGTCCGTGTCCTTGTTGATGAGGAATACCCCTTACTTCTTATTTTATCTGACACCCATCAAAAAGTTAGAGATGTCTCCCAAAAGAGACAAAGAAAGCAATAGGAATTTCACAGAGTTTCTATCCCTTCCGCACGCCATCTTAAAACAAAAAAGTGTTAGAATTAGGCTAAATATACAAATATATATACATTTTGAACTGAAATAAAATACCATGGCATAAAAGTGTTGAAGTAAAAATAATAATGGCATTTGATTTTCTCGTTCACAATGAAAATACTTACAACATGTCATGACCCTCTCTGGGTGTTGGTATGTTTCCAGCCTGGGGAATTACCTCCCATGTTAAGTCATTGGAAGTAACTGTTGAAAGAAAACTTTTTTTCTAACTTTTTTTCATGTCATCAATGTCATGTTATTTTCATGAATAATTGGAAATAGTTTATTACTATTCAATATATGCTGTAAAAGATAGGGTAATTTGTTTATTAACAAATCCCAGGATGATACACACACCCATGAATCCTGTTAAACCACTCCACAGCTGTTTTCCTCCATTATTTAGATGTGAGTGAACTGTGCTTAATGACAAGGAATGTGGGTTCCTTGGTTTAGAATATTTTTGATTTCTTTGCTTGCAGTGATGTTGTGATTCATGTGCTCACACTGATTAATGTATAATGGATCTGGATTTGCACCTCAGAATTTAATCACAATTTGCTACCATTCAACTTTAACACTGTACTTTCTCTATGCCTCTATCATTATAGTTGGTGTAAAGAGAATCTGTCTGTGCAGCTTTGGTAGAAGCAAAAGATAAGGAATAAAGAAAAATGTGAAACTAAAGCTTGACAGTAACTTTGGGCCAATTTTAGGAATTGTGCAGTCTTAACCATGTAACAAAATGAATTACTTCTGCATCCTAGGGTCTAACTTTAAGGACTGCAGTGGGGTCACCCATTCATGGGCCCATGAGCTCAAACAATCAAACTCTTGCTCGAAGTTTGATCCACAACCCTGTTAACCCCTTCATGACTGAGGCCCTTTTTTCATTTTTTGCACCCATGTTATATTCCACATTTTAGGCCTGAAAATGACATAAAACCCCCCAACATTATATATTTTCTGAATGCCAAGACCCTATAGAATAAAATGGTGGTAGTTGAAAATTTTTATGTTGCGCAATATTAGCGCAACTCCTTATTAAACCCCAAAATTTAGTGACAAATTTAATTAAATGCCCCAAAACACAACAAATTACCCATTTTTTAAATGAAATATAAAAGATGAGGTTACAACGAGTAAAACGATACCCAACATGCCCAGTTTACAGATTGCGTGCGACCGTGAAACGGCGAAAAACTGCAGTACCCCAAAAA